CCCCGCCCCACTGTCAAGCGTGCCCCATTCCAGGGGGGTCTCTTTTTCCCACCGGCTGGTCCCACTGTACAACACATTTTAATTCTTTGACGTAGCATGCAACTATACGGAAATTCCTTGCAAGCCCCCCTCCCCCCTCTTTCCCTGCATGCACGCTGCGTGACGCGCGCGCATCCTTTGATACACGTCGCAGGAGAGGCCGTCGGTAGGCTGGATAACAGAGTGACGGGCGGGGTAAGCATAATAATATAGCACAGCATACAGCGGAAATCCAATGTGTGTAAATGTAGTAGCCTATACACTTGTAGGTGTGTGACAGTTCGTACACATGGAGGCACACAAGCATAAATTTTCACTCCCTCGCACTCCCTTCTTTGCTCCATTAGGTATACGAATGGACATTCACACACAGCTAGAAGTGTGAGACATTCACACATACCTGATTCCAGAGTGCGCCAGCCCCCATCTCTGTTGTTGATGACCACAAGGTCATCGTCGTCACAGCACTTTGCACCGCATGCGGGCGTCCGGCGTGCGGGAGGGTGGGTTTGTCGACCGTCTCTGCTGGCTGACCAGGGCCCGTTTACAACGACCGCGAACGAGTCCAAACTCTAAACGCCGTCAGCGCTTTCGCTAGCCAAAATTTTTGTGTATTCCGTTTTGACTCACAATTTTTTTTGCATTCTTGTAGAGACTGCCAACATTTTGGCTTTCCTAGAGCCTGCCCCGAAAATTGGGGCATGCCAGTGAAACCGCCCCCCCCCCCAAATGGCAGAGACCAAATGGCAAAGATTGGTTGTCGCAAAAAATAATTCATTATTTGGCAAATTTTGCCAAGCAAAGCAGCCATACGTTGGGGGCCAGGCAGACGCACGGCTGCCACGCCTGCATGCAGTCCGACCGCACGGTGTCTGTGCGGTGCACCGCGGCGCTGCGGGTGGCGGCCAACCCCGGGGGGCCACCCTGTGCCGACACTGCCGCGACCGACTGCAGAGGCATGTGCGATTGTGGGGCGATCACTACCATCTCGACACTGCGAACAACAGCAACAAAAACGTAAAGTGAAGCAGTATGTGTGGGTCTAAAAAATACGATCGTTCACTAACTGCACTGCGACTACGTCTTCCCAGGGCTGGAAGCCCTGGAAAATTTC